ATGCTGAATTGCAAAAACATGCCCTAGTCATTAAGGGGTAAAACCTTCTGGAAGTCAAGAGGTTAAAAACATTCAAGTAAAGAAAATGATCTGTTCATCTGGAAGAAATGCACCCGGCTCCTAATTTCCTATTGGCTGACTTTTTTTTTTTTGTGGACTAAGTGGTGACAGTTCTGCCCAGTTTCCTTTTGTTTAATTCTTCAACCACATCTCCAAAGCATAGGCTTCAATTGAAACCACATTCTAACATGAGACCTAGGAGGACTAAAAAGACTATTTGAGATAACACAGGCAGTAGGCATAGGGCAAAGAATAGCTCCTAATTTCCCACAAGAACAACAATTTTTTTTATATTTACTTATCAAACAGATACAGAAAAATGCTTTCAACTGTGTATTTAGCAGGCCAAAAGAAAGCAAAGCGAAGTTCATTGTTAGGAGTTTACAAACCTCCAAGGCCTGATAAATTCTTCTACCTTGACCTGTTGGTTGTGTTTCCGACAGCATCGTTACCTTGTTTGTGTACATAGCAGGCTTCCTGCTTGTAGGATTCAATAAAGTATGCAAGCAGCAGTAGACCGTTATTTTCTGGTAAACTAGACACTGCTCCAGCACTTCTGATGATGTATAAGCAAGCCCTTCTGGACATGGCAGAGTTGCACATCTTTTAATGTAGAATCAGCCTGTAACTTCCCATTGGTGCCAGATACAGTGTTCTGGTCATTACTCATTACATGTATAGGAATGATTAGACCATAATGCACTGTAATTTTACCAAAGCTAATTGGGCATTGACTTATTTTAAAAAATTACAGATTTTGCTTTCCGAATATTGGTCAAAGATGGAAATTATCAGAACTCTTACCACACAATGCACCTTCTCCAATCTGTGCACTTTTCTTCATGCCTACAGGCTTTGAGAGAATTGACCATTATTGATGATTATGGTTGAATCCGAAAATAGGTGTATGTTTGTAATTCGTTGATACTTTCTGGATCAGTCTTTTCAGAAAAAGGTTCAGTGGTTTTTTGCAAACAAAAAACTACTGATTATAAGCATCTATGTGAGCTCTCTTTCATAGGCATGAAGTTCATTTGATGAGTACTTGTAAGATTTTTTTGGTAACGGAGAACTCAGTGGCCAGGGTTGCATGCTCGGCAGGCTGCCAACTACTGCTTGTAGGTGGCTCAAGGGCCTGTGTAAATGGATTTTTGCTTATGTCAGAACTACCTCTTCCCCAATGCATGTCAACAGCAAAGCTAAAGCAAGTTACTGCAGCTTAAGAAGTCCAATGCATATCAGAAGATGTAAACTCGGGGCAATTACAATTGTCATTGAACTGTGAATGAGCTCAGATTTCTCAAACTTATTTCAAATCTAGGCTGAATGCACCTGAAAGTAAGCTTCAATTGCCCATTGACACAAGTCCAAAGACTGTTGACATAAGCCCTTACGGTTAACATAGGCTAAAGTATGATTTAGATCCTTATAGCTTGAGCATTTTCTAAACTTCAGGATATGGTAAGAGAAAAAAAAATGATTTTGTGAAATAAACACTCTGAAGTGTTTGCTATAACTTTAATTTGATTATAAGTAGTGTTCATCTGTCATACTGCCTATCAGTATATGCATTTATGTAGGATCTTTTCTATCCACGGCACTAAAGCCTAGTGCACATGATCAGAAAATCGTATTAAATACAGCTTTCAAAGAGATCGTATGATAATCTGACTGTTAGTACACAACTTTCATCTGAAATCATTTGAAGGGAGAAGCACAAGTTTTTCTCATATGATACCAGATCGCACGATTTTCATTTTAATCTTCTAATTTTTGTCCGAAAATACAATACAAATAAATTACATCACTTCCGAATTTTCTTTCTGTCATACAAGAATTTTCATATTTTTAGTAATCTCTTCACTTTAAATTTGAGACTAGCATGCAAAAAAAGACAATCATTCGTCTAATGTTCTCTTCGTGTGTACGGGGCTTAAACTATGATGGTTTGAATATATAAAAAAGTTAAACTCAAATCATGTTCTTGAACACAAAGAATGATTGATTGTTTCAGCTTTTTCATTTTCACAAAAGAAAATACAGAACACGTTCATTAGATGTAGACAAGAACAAATTTTAGATGATGCTTTGATAAGTAAAAATAGGAATTTGTAGCTAAATGGATAGAGAGCCTATTCTTAAAGTAATTTGCACAAATGATTGTAATAAATCATGGCTAAATTAGTTTATATATAAAAAGAATAAAACAGCACATTTCATTTTCAATGAGAGCAAGCATTTTAATTTACACCTTATAAATATCCTATAAAAGGGACATCTTGAACTTTATTATATCAGCTGTGCCCATTCTATCACATTGCTTACTTTGACCATGACTATAAACAGAGACCAATTATACAAATTTTCCAGCTGGGTAGCTGACTCGTGTAATTTGATGAAATGTTATTACTGGTTTAAAATGATATCGACCAAACATTGTACATCATGACAACTTTGTCAGAATAGTTGATATAAGGAGATTTAGGTAAACCTCAGAGAAGGAAGCAAGGGACATTTTTTTTTTCTCTCTCCCGTAAGTTTGGCCTCTGTCACTTGGAAAAATAGTAGAAAAGCTAATCTAGTTTTTTTCAACTGCCTTAAAGGAGAAGTTCAAACAAAGCTCTTGTGGTTGTATTTCTCCTGTGGATCACAGGAGTGCAGTTTGTACATGCCCCAGCATGCTATGGCTTTACAAAAGCTGAAACAGATATTAAGGAAAAAGAGAAGCCCTGGAAGAACTTTTTATGGACCCAAAAGCCTGCCTGATAAGCTAATCCTAGGATTACCCAGTCTCTCTATTTAGAAGACTTTAAAATAAAGATTAGAGCAAGACCCAGAAATATAATTTTTACTAGTACAACAGTTTATTGTGCAAAGGAAAATATGGAGTTAGTGCTATGGGTTACCTATTTCCTTAATCAAGAAATCTCAACAGCATCCCACCATGCTCACTAATGAGGAAATGCTTGAATTCAAAGGGTCTCTTAAAATCCAGGAAGAATTAACAAATCTTAACCACCTCCCGCCTGTCATATAGTAATATGACGGGCGCAAGGTGGTTCTCTCGTTCTGGGAGGACGTCTTATGATGTCCTCCCATTCTCACTGCCCATGCGTTGCTCAGGAAATGTGCAGCACGGTGATCGGCTGTGTGCTGTGTCCCTCGGACACAGCGGATCACCAATCACGGAAAAAGCCGAAGATGTCGGCTCGGTCATGTGATCAGCTGTGTCCAATCACTGCTGATCACATGTAAACAGGGAAATGCTGGTTATCGGCATTTCTCTCCCCTCAACTGTCACGCTGACAGCTCGAGAGGAGAGGAGAGCCGGTAATTGGCTTTCCGCGGAGGAGACATGTACACTGATCATCAGGGCACTGATGATCCGTTTGCCCTGATGATCAGTGTAGCCCCAGCAGTGCCACATGTCAGTGCTCATCAGTGCCTCGTGCCAGTGCCCATCAGTGCCACATATCAGTGCCTATTAATGCCACATATCAGTGTTCATCTGAGCTGCCTTTCAGTGTCGCCCATTAGTGCCAGTCAGTGCCACCTATCAGTGCCAGTCAGTGCCGCCTATCAGTGTGCATCAGTGCCGCCTATCAGTGCACATCAGTGCTGCCAATTAATGCCACCTAACAGTGCCAATTAGTGCCGCCTAACAGTGCCAGTTAGTGCCGCCTAACAGTGCCAGTCAGCGCTGCCTATCAGTGCCCTGTATCAGTGCTGCCTTTCAGTGCCCATCAGTGATGCCTGTCAATGCCCATCAGTGCTACCTACCAGTGCATCCTCATCAGTGCCACCTATCAGTGCCCATCAGTGCAGCCTCATTAGCGCCAATCAGTGAAGGAGAAAAAATCACTTATTTAAAAAATTTTATAACAAAAACTAAGAAAATTTTTCAGTGGTTTTTGGTTTAAGGAAAAAATAAAAAACCCAGAGGTGATTAAATACCACCAAAATAAAGCTCTATCTGTCACAAAAAAAGATAAAAATTTCATATGGGTACAGTGTTGTTTGACCATGCAATTGTCATTCAAAATGTGACAGCGCTGAAAGCTGGAAATTGGCCTGGGCAGGAAGGGGGTATAACTGCAGATGGCTCAACCAGAAATTAGTCAAACATTGAGGGAGGAGAGAGGTTCTACTGGTACTGCAGTAAATGCGGTTATTAAGCTAGATTTTGCCACTCAAATGGAGAAGGAGGAAAGGGTCCATTAAACTAGAATGCCTTGTGGTGATGAGACACAATATGAGGCAGCAGAATGAAAAGGTAAGTTCTGGGACTGAAGAGTTGAATAGTCAGTGTCCATTGTTGCTTGGATGAACAGTTAGTTAAATGTTTGTTAGACACTAGTTTTCAATGATGACTGAGAAATTTTATAGGGAAAATTTCCTAATAAGCTTCCTTCAGTGAAAGCTCTTTGGCCCAAACTGGTGGCCTCTAACAATCTACCCATCCCCTTGAGTGGAGTAACATTAATGACTGGTAAACTATGGGGACTAGAGTTAGGAAATAAAAATATTTTCATCCTAAAAAGCCTAGATTCACATGGAGTGCCCACCCATATTGACATAAACATTGTTGAAGAAGAGCTCTAGTCTCCCCAGAAAAATTAAGTCAGCAGATACAACTATTGTAGTTACTGACTTTTATTATAGGGAAACTTGCTTGTCCAGGAATCCAGCGTTATCTGCTTTGGGTCCAGGTGCTGGCATCTTAAATAAGGGAAATTGGCAGTGGAGCATTGCAGGAGCGGGTGGCTGTTTTTATAAACGTCTTCCCCGCTTCCCTGCCTGTGCGCGCTCCCAGCAGAACAGCTCCCAGCTCTGGACACAGCTGAACACTGATCGCTGTATGGGACCTCTATGTGAGGTCCTGATCATGTGATCACATGAATAGTAGTAAGCAAGATGTCACTTCTGACATCATTGCTTACTACTAGTGAAATCTCTGCATGATCACAGAGGTCACATGGTACAAGGCTATTCACAACTGCCTTGTACCATGTGACAAGCTGTGACCAATCACAGCTTGCACAATATTTCTCACTGGCTGCAAGAATGCAGCCAGAGAGGGGAAATTATTGCCTTTATGGGTATAAAAGCAATCAGTGTGAAAAAATAAATCTTCATCACCTCCCACAAGTAGTACAGTGTCACTATGGTAACACTGTACTGCTAGGGTGACAATATGTAAAAAAAAAAAAACATAAATAATATAAAAAAATAAATAAAAAAATGTGAAAAAATTTTTTTGTAAAATTAAAATGTTTGGTTATAAACTAATTTGCGTTTTTTTTTTAAATTAATTAAAAAGATTGCTTTTTGCCAAGATTTATGAAGAAAGATTATTTGCAAAATTTTATAAGAAAAAAACACTTTTTTCAAAATGTTTGGACTTTTCATTTATATAGCAAAAGTGGTGAATAAATACCACCAAAATAAAGTTTTATCTGTCTCAAAAAAATTCATTTGGGCCAGTGTTGCATGACTGTGCAATTGTCATTCAAAGTGTGATGGCGCTGAAAATTGGCCTGGACAGGAAGGGGGTGAAAGTGTCTGGACTTGAAGTGGTTAATACTGAAGAAAAAAAAGACAGATGTTCAAATTCAGGCTAATCCCAGCACCCCTAGTTTTGGTTTGGAGAAAGGCAAAAAAAAAAACCTGTAAAGCAGGTTTCTCATTTTTGTCAAACAAAAGGAAAACAAAATCCTTTTTTTCTCCTAGTAACACTTCCTGTACTAGAGGGTAACACTTGAGTTGGCCATACACTGATCAGCCGCTGATCAAGGAAAATTTCCAACATATACCCTCGACAGAAGTTAATCAAATGACTGAAATCTGGCTGAATTCTGATCAGTGTACGGCCAACTCAAGTGTGCCAGATTTCAATCATTTGATTAACTTCTGTCGAGGGTATATGTTGGAAATTTTCCTTGATCAGCGGCTTCAGCTAATGATCAGTGTATTCTGACAGGGGCACCTGCTGCTGTCAGAGTACATTTGTCCTGGTGGGGAGCAGTGGATCGCCTTGTTTGTGTGGATGGAGGAATCTTTTCTCCTTTTTTTTGGGGGGGGGGAAGAAAAGCTAAAACTGGCCATTAATCGATCGCAATCCAGCTGGCTCGACAGGGACTAGCCAAATTTTGATCCATCTATGGCTGTTCCCCTTTGAGAAGAATCTGGTGTGATTTTTGTATTTATTATTATTTTTTTTTTAATTTATGGATATAAAGGGAAGGGGTCCTCTGTCCGCTTCTACCGTTAAGGAGACTTTCCCTCAATTCTGCCCTGGAAATGTGTGAGCCTTTGTCTAATTTAAGTATTTTTTTAACTCTGTGGTTGATTTACTAAAGGCTAATAGGCTGTTCACTTTGCAAGTGAAGTTGCACTCTGCAAGGACATTTTTACCCCACAACTTAGTGAAGCTGTGCTGACTTTCCAATATTTAATCATGTTTCTAGGGAAAATGCACTTTTGTCTTTTCCTTGTGTGTGATTAGGCAGGGGTGTCAAACTCCATTTCATCTCTGGCTGTATCAGAATAATGGTTGCCCTCAAAGGGCCAGTTGTATCTGTAAGACTAGATGTCCAAAGCACCCCACCCACCCTTACATCAGATGTCAAGAATCCCACACCCTCCCTAACATCACCGTGCACCCTCTTTAGTGGCAGAGGTGGAAAGTAAGTGTAGGGTCTGGAGGAGGACCAGAGGAGGAGTGGAGTCGGTTACCAGAGTCTGCTGAATGCCGAGACTATAGGTGGCAGAGATGAGGGGTGCAGGATTTGGCAGAGGAGTTCTATTTTCCTCTCTGCTGCTGACTGCTTAAGTTTGGGTGGAGATAAGAGGGTACCTGCAGGAGAGTTGCAAGGGCCACATGAAATGACCTGGAGGGCCAGATTGTGCCCATGGGCCTTGTGTTTGACACCTGTATGATCAGGTATTTGTTAATCAGCTCCTCTGTGTCTCTTGAAGAATTTCCTTCACTTCCTGTCCTGGTAACATATTGTCCATATTTGCTAATTATAATAAAAAGTGGTGGAATAATACATGCCTATTTATATGTGATACATGTTGGTGGTTCTTTTGTGGGATCTTAGAAAGATTAATAATGTGGAATTTGCCATTGCCAAGCAGCCAGCTCCAAGGCTGTCATCCTAATCCTAGTTTTAATAAAGTTTTTAACCACTTCCCAACCACCCTATAGCAGAAGTACTGCTGCAGGGCTGCACAAAATCACGTGTGTGTATATATACGTGATTTTGTATTTCCTGGTAGGGGCACCGCTACAGCTGTTGATCACTGGGTCCCGGCCGGAGATTCCCTGCCAGCACCCGGCAATCGCTGAGGACCACTGACAGGGGAGAGGTCTGTATGTAAACAATACAGATCTCTTTCCTGTCAGCACCAGCATGCTGCTTTTTATTGCTCTGCATAGCAAGTGTCCCATGAACTTCCTTTCTGATTCCAAAAAGATTTCGATTGAATTCTAATTTTTTTTTTTCCCTTGATTTAAGCTGGCCATACACGTGTAGATTTTCGGCTGAGAATATTCGTAAGAAAAGGCGTACGGAAATTCTTTGCATATTTGATAAATGGACGAATGTTGTCGAAAAATGTCTTTTGCTTTTAACATTTGATTTTAAAATAAATGTAACTTCTGATCAAGAACCACATATACTGGCCGAAAATTCTTTAAATCGTGACGTTTTCCTTCCTGCACCTTCAATTTGTTTCTGTTACTGCTGTTGAAAACAAACATCGATTTGACCTTACTAACGGTTAGAAAATCAAATGAATATTCTTGAAACTAATATTTACGGATGAAAACCTACACGTGGATGGCCAGCTTAACTTTTTGAATTTAGTCAAATTTTTTTGAATTGAGTTGAAACCAATTTTGAATGTGAACATCTTTTCGAATTTGGTCGAAGTATACATGTAAATACACATAAAATTCACTAGAAAGCATGGAAACCCAATAGGAACCCAGATGTCCTCAATGGAGGTGAAGCAAACTGAAAACTCAGTGGACAGCTTCTAAAACACACTGAAATTCACAGAAAGAGAAGAAAAATGCACCTGAAAGCTTCAGAAAAGCGCATCGAAAGTGCAGCGGAATGCATGTTAATGCACTGAAATACATGTAAATGCACCCGAAAATAACTGGCTTGAACATAAATGCATCGAAATGTGCATGTCCTGAATTGAGATGAAGAAAAAGGGGGAAAAAACATCCAGGATGCATAAAAATGCATGCAAAAAGTACCGCAATGCACAGAAAAGAGGAATGCATCAGAATGCTGAAATTATGGCGTGAACCAACCCTTATTGACTGTCTACTTCCAGCCATTGACACTCGCCTACGCCCAACCACTCACACCCACTTACCCACAACCACTGACATCTCAAATTGAAACCCACCCAGCCCAAACCACTGACACCCCAGACAGATAATCCATCCACTGGCATCGACCTACTTCCAACCACTGATACTCGCCTACCCCCGGGTACTGACATCTCAAATTGACACCCACCTAGCCCCAACCACTGACACCCACCTACCACTAAGCACTGACACTCCAAACTGACACTCACCTAGCCCCAACCACTGACACTCACCTTGCCCCAACCACTGACACCCCAAATGGACAGACACCCACCTACCCCCAACCACTAATGCCCAAAACTGACATCCACCTACCCCCAACGTCTGACTCCCACCTACCCCCAAGCACCAACACCCCAAACTGACATCCACCTACCTCAAACCACTGACACTCGCCTACCCCAAACCACTGACCTCTCAATTGACATCCATCTAGCCCCAACCACTGACAATCCAGACTGACCCCCAACCACTGACACCCACCTACCCCTAACAAGTGACACCCTGGACTTGCCCTCACCCCCAACTACAGACACACCAGACTCCCCTTACACCCACCAATCACCCAACCAACCACTGACACCCATAGCTGACACCAACCTACCCCAAAGCACTGACACCAGCCTAGCCTAAACCACTGACCCCCACCCACTTCCAACCACTGACAACCCAAACATGGGTGTCTCAATGTCAGTGGGAGTGATAATAGAACCCCAGCATTAGTGTCATCTACATATCAGACCTCCATGGTCTTCATGCTTTTTAACCAATTCAATACCGGGCAATTTTACACCTTCCTGCCCAGGCCATTTTTCAGGTTTCAGCGCTCTCACACTTTGAGTACAATGTTGTATGACTGCGCAATTGTCATTCAAACTAAAATTGTATCATTTTCTTCACACAACTAGAACTTTCTTTTGGTGGTATTTAATCATCGTTGGGGTTTTTATTTTTTGCTAAATTAACAAAAAAGACCGAAAATTTTGAAAAAAAAAACACGTTTTTCTTTGTTTGTTATAAAAGGTTGCAAATAATTGTTCTTCATAAATTTAGGCCAAGATGTATTCTACTACATTTCACAAACTATGGTATACAGTGGGGCCAAAAAGTAATTTCTAATTTATTGAGGTCCAAGAATGTCAGAATAGTACAGATATCCCTCAAATGACCACTTTTTGCAAAATAGACAGTCCGACGTACTTCATAAGAGGCATGGCGAGTTTTTTGAAGTTGTATTTTTTTTTGTCATAATTTTTCGGAAAATGAAAAAATAAAAAAAATTATTTTCACAATTTTTTTTTTTTTTTTTATACATATGGTCACCAGTGCAGTACAGCATCATCATATAACTGGCATGGCGGTGATCAGGGGCACTGACTGGTGACAGTGTGGAAAAAAAAAAAATATATATTTTTTTTTAATTTTTGTTTTTTTTTTTTTTAAGTTTTTTTTCACGATTTTTTTTTTCATATTTCACTATGTCCAAAGTAGTACAATGTTACCATAGTAACATTGTACTACTTGGGGAAGTGATCACTATTTTTTTTTTACACAATTTGCTTATAGCAAAGAATTACTTTGCTATAAGCAAGCATTTACCTTTTTTTTTTTTGTGCTTAGCTGCGATTTGGCCACAGTTAATCACATGACATGTGCATGTGATTAGCTGTGATCATTCACAGCTAGACACTAGTTTACAATGGATGGCATGAATGAAGCCATCCATTGTATACAACTGTCATGTGACCTGCTGTGATTGGTCACAGCAGGTCACATGGTACCGGCAACGGGGGACAGTACTCAGATCTATCATCGGCCGTGTCCGAGGTATACGGCCGGTGACAGATCGCGATGCTGCATGGCTCTGCAAGCACGCGAACTGCGCATGTGCGGGAGGACGCCATATGGAGGCCTCCCGGAAAGGTAATGCATTTTTGCGGATGCCATTTGGCCATAGACCGGGCGTCAAATGGTTAAAGTGGAAGAACAGCCTAGCTATAAATTTTCTTAAAAATGTTCCCTCCCCCTCCTCCTACCTCTCCTGTATAAAAAAAAAATGTGTGTACTTACCCATTTTTAATCCACTCCAGTCAAGTGATCCTCCAGCTCTGGCTTCCCTGTGTCAGTGACTGGCTGCTGCAGGGGAGAGGAGGAAGGACCGACAATGGCTGGGCCATGGCTCCCAGAATTCACAGCCATTACTGAGGGATCAGCCATTACACAGGGGAGTCAAAGCTGTGGGATCACATGACCAGACCAGATGAGAATAGGCAAGTACAGATCATTTTTTATATGGGTTAGGCAGGATAGGTAGGAGGAGGGGGGAGGGGATATTTTTATGAAATGTTAGAGTTAGGCTTTTCTTCAACATTAAAGCTGAATTGCAGGAATTCAGCCACTTTGTAGTTAGAAGGTCCAGCATCAGGCTCCCGGAACTAAAGTGATAGCTGACTTCCCAAATTTCTATAAATCTGTCAGAATTATAGAGATTGGGCAGCACAGTGGCTACGTAGTTAGCACTTCCGCCTAGCACTAGGGTCATCGGTTTAGAAACCCAACCATGGCAATAGCTGCCTGGAGTTTGCATGTTCTCCTTGTGTCTGCGTGGGTTTCCTCCGGGTACTCCGGTTTCTTCCCACACTCCAAAGACATGCTGGTATGTTTATTGGCCTTAGTATATGTATGTATGTACGTGACTTAGGGACATTAGATTGTAAGCTCTTTGAGGGCGGACACTGATGTGAATGTACAATATATATGTAAAGCGCTGTGTAAAGTGACGGCGCTATATAAGTACCTGTAATAAATATATAGGTCCAGGAGGTGTCAGGCACCTGCTTGATGAGAAAGAGAAAACCAAATCCTCTGTGAATTATAGGTGAGCTCATCTCCAGATAAAGCTCTTCCTCTAGTGCAGCCACACCAGTACACAAATCAAAGGGCCAACTGGCTGTGCAAGGCAGAGCAGCCCAAGTCATTCCCTGCTCTGCATTGCTGACTGCTGTAGGGGGCAGTGTGGTGGTGTGGGATTCAGTGGATCACACAGCTCCCCCCTTTTATTTGCTTTGAATAAACAGTATGCTAAATGTACAAAATGTACACTTAATTTGCTGCAATGAAGGAGAGTGTGATGTGCTCCGCTGCCTTACATTGCAGTGCGATTTGGTGTGCTGCAATAAAAATGTCCTGCCAACTTGTATCTATCTCATACACATGGGGTCTGAGCGCCTATGAAGTTGCACTGACCCTAATTTGAGAGAAGGATAAATTCACCTTTAACCACTTCAAGTCCGGACACTTTCACCCCCTTCCTGTCCCGGCCAATTTTCGGCTTTCAGCGCTAACACACTTTGAATGACAATTGCGCGGTCATGCAACACTGTACCCATATGAATTTTTTAGCATTTTTTTGAGACAGATAAAGCTTTATTTCAGTGGTATTTATTCACCGCTGGGATTTTTATTTTTTTTGCTATATAAATGAAAGTCAAAAATTTTTTAAAGTGTTTTTCTTATAAAATTTTGCAAATAAATAATATTTCATCATAAATCTTGGGCAAAATTTATTCCGTTATCTTTTTAGTAAAAAGAAAAAAAAATAACCCAAATTAGTTTATAACCAAAAATTATTATAATTTTTAATTTTTTTTTTTACATTTTTATTTTATTTGTTATATATATATATATATATATATATTTTTTTTTTTTTTTTTACATACTTTCACCCCAGCAGTACAGTCTCCATGGTGACTCTGTAATGCTTGTGGGGGATGATAAAGATTTTTTTTTTTTTTTTTACACTGATTGCTTTTACACCCATATAGGCTGTAAAAGCAATAATTTCTCCTCTCTAGCTGCATTCTTGCAGCCATTGAGAAATACTGTGTGAGCTGTGATTGGTCACAGCTTCTCACATGGCACAAGACTGTTGTGAATAGTTTTGTACCATGTGACATCTGTGATCATTCACAGATTTCACACGTAGTAAGCAATGATGTCAGAAGTGACATCTTGCTTACTACTCTGCATGTGATCACTGATTGGCCAATCAGTGATCACATAATTAGGACCTCTCACAGAGGTCCTATACAACGATCGGTGTTCCACTGTATCCGGAGGACACAGCGGGCACCAGATTGCGGTGCTGCTCGCTCCCAGGGAGTGCGCACAAGCAGGGGGTGGGGAGGCCATTTATAAATGGCCACCCGACCCTGCACTGCCACCATCCGGCCGTTCATATACAACGGCCAGATGGGAGGTGGTTAAAAAAAGATAATGCACTATTTTTGCAGGTAAAAAATGTGTATTTACTATTTTTTTTCTTAGGAGCCTGTATAGCATTGCAATGCAATGTAATGCTCCAGCAGATTGTCTGTGTAGCTGTCTCCCCGGACCTCCAATACTGGCAGGCAGTTACTTCAGTCCAGGAAGAATCAATGGATTACGACGATGCTCACCAGTACCCTCCTGGTTCATTGAGACCTATAAAGCATGAGCCGCAAAGGCTGTTGGTACTTGTAGTCTTTTCAATCACAGAACTCTGTGATTGGATGACACAGATCGCTGTATGGGACAATTTTTTAAAATTATTTTGAATTTATTTTTAGCTGAATACATTTTGGCCAAGATTTATGAAGAAAGATTATTTATTTGCAAAAACTTAAAAAAAAAAATTTGGACATTTTCATTTATATAGCAAAAAAATAAAAATCCCAGTGGTGAATAAATACCACCAAAAAGTTTTGTCTGTCTCCAAAAAAAAGATAAAAAATTTGTATAGGTACAGTGTTGCATGACCGCGCAATTGTCATTCAAAGTGTGATACCACTGAAAGCTGAAAATTGGCCTGGACTGGAAGGGGGTGAAACTGTCTGAACTTGAAGTGGTTTAAAGGTATAAATCTGCTTTGTGTGCTCCATATGCTCTTACAAATCCAGATATTACCTTGTAAATGTACAAATGACATCATCACTGTGCTGCATAGAAGCCAACACTATCTCCAGCTCTCTCTCCTGGACCAACAGGCTCCACCCTGTGACCTAACTAGCTCAGTCAGTACAGCATGAGACTCTTAATCTCAGGGTAGTGGGTTCGAGCCCCACATTAGGTGTATAACATCGCAAAGGTTTTTGTGGCGCTTAGTGGTCTGGGACAGCGAGCTGGAGACAATGTGGGCTGCTTAAGCGAGCCATCCCTGAGGGGTGATTCTTATTTAATTGCGGCAGTGGTTCTCTGTTTAGTGCAGGTGTATCTCTTTTTCAATTTACGCAAATGCAATATTTTTATTTATTAATAAAGGAAAGTAATCAGTGAGCACTATGGAGGTTCTTCTTCTGAGTTTGAGGTTAAGAGAAGTGTGGGATTTAATCGATTCCCCACTGCCCTATAGCACAAATACTGCTTCAGGGTGACAGAGCTGAGCAAAATCATGTATGTGTGTATATATATATATGTGTATATATATATATGTGTGTGTGTGTATATATTATGTATATACAGTGTGTGTGATAGGGGGCGCACGCACCCTACCCGTGCCGCCATTGGCGACTACAGCCTTCAATCACCGGGTCCCAGCCGGTGATCGCCGACTATCACTGATGGAGGAGAGGTCTATATGTAAACAAAATAGATCTCTACCCTGTCAGCTCCAGCATGCTGTTTTGCATTGCTCAAAATTCTTTTGATTGAGAAGTTTCCCTTCCTGCCCCTTCAAATTTTTTCGTCACTGCTGTCGAAAACAAATAATGATTTGACCTCACTAATGGTTGTAAAATCAAATGCATATTCTTGAAACAAATATTCTCGGATGAAAATCTACCTGTGTATGGCGAGTTTAACTTTTCAAATTTGATAGAATTATTTAGAATTCGGTTGAAATATTGATTTCGAACGACTTTTCAAATTTTGTTGAATCAATTTTGAATTCGGTTGAACCAATTTTGAATATGAACGACTTTTTGAATTTGGTTGAAATGTTTTTGAACTGAATTTGAAAACTAATTACCAAAACGAATCCCAAAAGCGAATTAAACGAATTTACCAAATCCAACTTCACAAAGTTTGTTAGATTTCGAATCTAACAAACAAAAGTAATTTTTTTGTTTTTGTACATGTCTAGTACATATGCTATATTTCCACTTAAACTCAGAGCAACTAGTCTGCATGAACCACAGGTTGTGCTTTTATTTAAACAGATGCAAAGTCACTATTTAAAGCTGACAATCTTCTGACTGAACAGGAGGCAGCTTCGTTTTAGCCTCATACACAGGGTATTTGCATGGGTTCTGTGTTTTGTACTAAGCTAGCCTCCTAATAAGAAGACATTTTAATAAGGTTTTCAGCTCTGGAATTCCACCTTCCTCTATAATTGGTTTAGCACAGAATAAATCTTGCCCATAGCAACTTGTATCTATAAAGAAATGTTGATGTTGCAAATCCTTCAATTGGTGATTTGATTGTGGTTTGAAAATATAATTTCCTCACAAATGGGAAAACTTGTGAAATAAATGAGCGCTTGTTAAAGCTGGCATTTAATTTTACAAAGAAGAAACATTAATACATAAAGATTAAAGCTGAACTCTGGGGAAATTTCACTACACTTCTCTTGCAGTGGGGCTTCTCCCCTCATTGAAAAGGTTAAATACTTATTTTTGCCTAGGGTACTATGAAAAACAGTTTTCCTTACTTTAGTCCTCTCTCATGCAGGCTAACTTTTCCCCTCTGTTCCCAGTCCCCCAAATCGCCTTTGCTTCTGCATTTGGTCAGTTGCAGACATGCGGACATCATCACATACAAAGCAAGACCAGTAGTCCCGCATTGTAAGTGAGGACACTAAGAGCACATTTACAACTTGTGTTGCAATATACACTATATTGCCAAAAGTATTGGACACCTGCCTTTACACGCACATGAACTTTAATGGCATTAGTCTTAGTCCGTAGGGTTCAATATTGATTTGACCCACCCTTTGCAGCTC